GTATTGTTCATGTCTTGCGAGTGGTGGGGATGCTGCGGGTAGGTCACCGTAGCGATGCGTTTACCCGCCGCGATATATTCATTTTGATTGTTGTGTGGTGCACGTTGCATTGTGTGAGGTCCGTCCGATAAGCAGGCTGTAGGCTAGACTGTCCTCACCGTTCTGAAGATGATAGACGCCAGATAATGTTACAGTTTAGAGCAGAAAGAGCAGTGTTGTCTCAGCACGGAAACTGTGTTTCGTCGTCGGTCTAGAGGTAGATGTGGTGGTGTCGTTTTTGCTCCCCCGAGACAAGGGTTTTCATACTCGTCCTTGGGGCGTTTTTCATCTTGCTCGATGCGTGTTGTCTGAGATGGTCGACTTTCATTGTCAATTCCCATGTACAGCCGTCCGTGCATGGCACATATTTGGTAGCACTTGTTTCATTGAGCAGTATTCCGAATTTAGGATATGAACTCCCATGTGTAAGGGCATCATCAGCCATTCGTGCGTGACATCTCTTGGATCGCACATTTTTCATTCAGCAGTGTTCCCGGGTTCGGATATTGATGGACCTGGGCAGCTTAGAGCAAGTCGTAAGAAACGAGGGAAAACTTGGCGGGATGTAGACTGCTGTTGTTGTTGTGTCGAGCAGTGCAAGGGCACCGTATGTAGATGGCACACACGCCAGGTTTTCCATTGGCTTTCTGTCGACAGAGTGATGTCACAGTCTGACCAAGAATACAGTATAATAGATGTCATGTCCACTGTATCCTCGGTGGCGGCGACCATGTCGCTTCTTCTGAGAGCACGGTAAGGTTTGCACGTTGTTTCCGGTGAATCTCAACGGACAAAAAATAACAATCCAAGGTTCTCCTTTGGGATGAATGCCAACGGGCAGGAGTGCCTAAGAAAAATCGAAGGTTCGGAACGTCCTTCTTTTTGTAACGAGCCAAGCGCGAGCGCAAACATCGTATCTACCAGACAGCTTGAATTCCTACGGCCGAAAGTGAACAATATCCAAGGTTCTCCTTTCGAGTGACTTCCAGTAGGCGAAAGTGAAAAATCTAAGACCCTGGACTTCATGTAGTGAGGGAAAAAGCGAGCGCAACATCAAGCACCAGAAGGTATGAATCCCAAGGGACGAGAGTGAACACCCGAAGGTTGTCCTTTAGAGTGAATGCCAATGTTCAAGAGTGAAAAATCGAAGGTTTTTCCTGCAGAGGGCGCACAGCGAGTGCAAGACTATACCAGAAAGCGTGAATCCAGTGGACGAAAAAAGGCAGCAATCCAAGGTTCTCCTTTCGAGTGAATGCCAATGGGCGCAAGTGAAAATTCAATATTCTGAACTTCCTGTAGCGAGCGTGTCAAACATCAGCCGTGTGATTCATAGGGTAGTGAGGGCAAGAGCCAAAAACAATCGTTGCGACCCTTGTTCTCTGCGGAAGTACCTTATCTAGGGCATATTGGAGCCCGATGTTGGCATTGTGGAGCGACCCATGCACACAACACACACGCTATGAAAGCATGAATGTCGACGTCCAAAAGTTGCCATAAGCTTGATCCGCATGCGCAAAATCTTATGGGAAAAACGATCCGGTTGCGTGCGCACCAAGACTCACCGAGCCTTGCTGAAAAGAAACTCCGACCCCAATGTTTCCGGAACTCACATGCATGGTAAAGACCGCCGAAATGCCACGGCACCGCAAGACGGACTGCCGTTGAATAAATCCGAGCCCTTGTGCCATAACAGCGGTTGTTAGGTGGTGAAGCGTAGTACAGCGACGGGGCCGGATACGAGTTGTATGGCCAATCAGCAAAAGGTTAGGTGAACATTGGCGGGCAGCCCCGTGCTAGGGGGCACAATGTGCCTGCTCTCTCTCTTGAAATCTCCAGTTTTACCCTATGCGTTTTCGTCGACGGACATGAAAACCATCATTTCACACCAGTTTCGACCGAACGAAGTGGTTGGCACCGCCGGTTCCATTTCAGTGAGGCGTGTCAACCATGCTGATGTCTCGGTTGCCGGTGGTCTTCATTTTCTTTGGAGAAACTCGTGCGGGGAAATGTGCCGATGGAAGATGGAAGGGTCTCATTTCCCGTCGGGTCAGGGTACATGCCCGACCGTCAGGATAGAATTCCAGAGAAAAACAGTCGCCATAGGATAATCAAGGTTTTCTTTTGACACGGCAGGGTGAAAGTGGGCGTCGACCAATCAGCTAGCTTTAGTTCACGCCATGACAAATCTACCCGGCTGAGTCGCAAATTGGACCAGGCTATGCTACACTACCCTGGTGTGTCACTTACCCAACATAAATCAACGGGAGAAAGGTTACACAAAACTGCGGTATGTTTGACCAACACTTGAGAATAAGACGTTATCTTTCAACTGCTATCTCGTGTTCTTGACAGAACCGGAACCCGACGTGTTCTTCGGAAGAAAAAAAACAATCTACGCTGGCCTCACAGACCATGATTCGAAAACCTCAAAAATACACACGACGAACTACGTGCCCCCATCATTATATAAAAAACTATTTAACACCGCACAGCTTTGGCACCTGCATGCATGAACGATGCGAGGGTCCACTCGCCGGCGAAACAACAAAAAACGCGCGCACACACACACACTGCGGTTACAACGAGACGAGATGCCACCAACACGCCCGTCCGTTGTCCAAAACAAGTTACGCCAGGGAAGAACGAAGCAATAGCCCGGTGCGCCACCACAAGAACAAGAAAACCCAGTGTCCACCATGCCTGAGGTACAAGGACATCCTGAGCAGAGTCCCCGCCGCTATCCAAAAATCTACCACACAAACAAGATCCGCGTGCACGGGCACTACCGGGTTTCCTCAGTCAGAGCGCCGCCTAAACGCGCGTCCGTTGTCCAAAAACAAATCACGCCAGGGAAGGAGAAACAATGCCCCGGTGTGCAGTCACAAAAAAAAAAGCCAACGTTCATCATGTCTGAGGTACAAACGCATCCTGAGCCACGTCCCCGCCTTTATCCTACCACATGAACAATATCTGCCGGCACCGGCACCACGGGGTTTCCCCAGTCAAACGCTCCACGATCAGATTCATTTTCGGCCGTCCTCTATTGCTACCGCTTCGGCCTGGGCGGTTGGGGGCGGTACCCCAGACCACCGGTTGGTCTGCTTGCTTATGGCTTCCATTTTTCCCTCCACCGTCTGCCTGGTCATCTTTCGAGTCAACAAATCGTCAGGTCAGCGAGGCGGGAGGGAGGGGGGGGGGGGGGGGTTACTTGCGTGGTGCTTGACGCCATCTTGACAGTTCAATGCATCGCAGTCGAGAGGGAGAACACCTATTTGTACCCTCCCAAGGATTGCTGGGCCACTCTGACGAACAACATCCGACACATGGTGCATCTCCACATCATGTTTTGGGGAAAGGGACAGCGCAACACGCACACCAAGGTGCAAGGAGGACGGAAGCCGTTCGGATCGCAGCACGGTCAACAAATTGGCACACACAGGATTACCACACAACACAAAAAACACCCCTGATAGGTGACTCCCGACATCCAAGTTATCGGCAGCATGGAGGGTGTGGCTGCTACCTGTTTCGGCCCGGGCGACTTGTACACATGGGAACACGACCGCGAACGCGAGTATTGGCGAACCCTGCTTAAGTTGGCAGCCTAGTCGACTTGCCCTTCCGCATCTGCTTGTATGCATAGGTTTCATCACACGCGTGGGCGCCCGGCCATGAAGAAACTTCCTAAAACCCAGAAAGAGACAGCCAAGAGGTACCCATAGGGGCGACAGAAAAAATCTATTCCTGTTGCGTACCTCCGGTGGCCCCGCCATGTAGAACCCCGCCGTCATTACCAAGATCGTAAATCCCTGTGCGACGACCCGGCCCCTCATAAGCTTCTGCGAAAGCTGCTTGTTGCCCTGCTTGAAAGAGTAGATTCCTGCGACCCGACAGCATGCACCAGTACACGTGCGGGGTATGCTTGTGTCGGTTCAACGTAGCAGGCAAAGAAAAAACACAAATTACTCAGCGTGTATCTGATAAACCGAATTTAACGACGACCACAACCAGAACAGAAAAATATCATAGGGAAAAACCGGAGGGGAGACGCATGCCACACACATATCACGGAGACAAAGGTGACGGAGATGTATGGAGTACAGACCTTATGGATGGGCACGAGAGAAAATGACCACACAGAATCACCAATTGCAAGGAAATTCGCATATTGCCTCGCCAGAAACAGGAGGCACAACCGGCGTGGCGATGCTTCCCTCTGCGCTACGCTGGGCCCACCCGCAATTTCTCCTTTGCGTCGAGCCCCCTCTGCCGCGGACGCTTCGTGTTCCCGCTATTTAGTCTAGATCTGACGATTCGCACTGGCCAGCTAATGCATATGTCGTGGTTAACAACTCCATTGGTTAAGGATATGTATGGTTTTCGTTAAGCAGGCAAACGTGTTCTCATGCCGGGGAAAGTGTCCTTAAGGTTGATACCCCTCCTTACGTTGAACATTCTGCGAGCCACCATGCCTGTGAAAAAAAAGTTGTCCTTGACCGGGGGAGTGTCCCAAAATATGGGGTCCTCAACCGAGACATGACTGTATCCCTACAACAAAACAGGGCAAGCAGCAAGGCAGAAGATGGCCATAAAACACACACCCAACCAAGGTCAAAGGGGGAGTGGCAGGGAACCACAATCACATGCGGCGAGTTGTATACCCCTTACGTCAAGATGTATCTAAAAGCTGCACCAAACCACCACGAACAATGCGATCCACAGGGTATCCACAATCGCACGAGGAGCGAATGTCCCCTGGGGAAGTAATGAAATCGTATGCACCCTTACCCTAGCCCCAACCCCAACTTTTCCGATTCTGTACAATACTACCCAGCACAAACCTGGGTAGACTACTTGTAATGCGTATGACAGATACGATCAAAGTCCCTCCGCGAGCATCTGGGGTTTCGCCTTCAACTCAGGTAGACTAAACTCAGATAGACTTAATAGTCTTTAGTGCCATAGAAAAACACGCGCGATTCGGCCATGTTACGGGGAGAAGCGCCTCAGCTATGCGAACCTGACGAGAAAGTGGTCACGTTGCATATAATGTACTTCTAGCAGTGTTCAGGCAGGGGACATCACAGCAGTACCAACTATCGTAGTCTACCGCCGCAGTACATTTCGCTGTCTCACGAAATACAGCTGTGCGCTACCAGAGCAGCAGTGCTTCTGTCTCTTGTGCTAAGGGATCAGAAGAGGGAACGAGCACAGAGAGGCCCATCCTGCTAGGGTAATTTTTTTACGCGATAATTGTGGTTGGTACGACGGGCTTGTAGTTCGCGAAGCCGTGTGCTACTAAGCCCTCAAGGGTTGTGCTGGCTGCTGCTGCTGCTGCCTGCTGCTGCCAGCGCAGAGACCAAAAACGGGTGTCTCGTCGAACTCCGATATGTTGGCGACTAGAAAGAAACAAAAGAAGGGCGGCAACCTCTGGCCAGCGTCCGCCGTCAACAAGAGTTTGACAGCCAGAGTGTTAGCAACAGCAAAAGCGCCTCCTCTTTCCGCTGGTCGGTCACGAGACAACGGGGCCGGTTGGAATGACGGGCAGCGGAGTGTTGCGGAGATTCACAGGTTTGAAAACAGAAAACATGTTACAAGTCGACTCTGCTTGTAGCTCCCCAAAGCTACGACTACAGGGAAGTTTCAACCTACCCTCCTTCCCGGTACTGCCTCCGCTATTGCACGTAACTGACAGATGTGTCTCGCCGTGTGCTACATCTCTGCTGACGCGTTGCTGTGTTGGTGGCGAAGCATGCTGCTCTTGGAAAACATCGCCATACCTGACACCAAGAATCCCACTGTCGCCAAGGCCCCGATCGGCACCAGAGGCTCCTTTTTCCCCTTCACCGCCAACTTCTCAAAAAAAGAGGGTGCTCGCTCGTCCATGGTCACCATGATAGAATCGTCTGTACCACGAGCGCGCAACTTAGCAGCTTGTGCAATTGCTGTGCCTCTTCTTGCTTTGTCTTTAGGTATGGAAGATGACAAAATAGAGCGAAGCGGTCTTTAAGTGCGTGGCGGGGGCATCCGTCAACGAGAATATGTGCATGGGGTACATCTAATAGTCGCGTAGCCCCCATGTGTGCTTCAACACGACACCCAGCACACACAGCACACAGCAGACAGGACATTCTGCATTGCTTGTTTCTGTCTGGTGTGAGGACGAGAAGTAGTACCCGCAGAAGAAGCTGGACGGGCGCGTGGAGTGCTCGTCTTACGTGAACCGCTTGCTGTCGAATCGAAATGTCTGCAAGCGGTGGAGGGAGTTACAACATGGAGGTGAGTTTCTCGAAAGGATCAACGGCCGGCTGGCTTCGACAACAACAGCATGTGTAGTTGCTCTCACACCAGGGGCTTACAGAAAGAGTCCATCCAGTTGAATACCATCCAAGGCACAAACTAGCACTTCGCGAGGGCTGTCATTCTGCGACGCTGGTGTGCTATCGCCGGGATTGGCCACTGAAACAACATTGGGGCTTCTGGGTGGTGCTGCTGCGTTACATGTACATGCAGCAGCGGCCTTTTGCTCCGTACAGCGGCCTGTTGCTCCGTGGTCACCTGGCAAAGTTGTCTTCGCACCAGTTGTTCCTGAGCATCTCGCTCTTCGGCAATGCCACTCCACGAAGTGTGCAGACTACAGCATCAACACTCTGCGCCGCATTACCGTCAACTCGGTCTTCGCTGGACCCTGCAGCTTTTTTTTTTCCCAGGCATTTCGTGTTACCAAATTTGAATTTTAAACATCTTGTACAACCTTCCGCAGGGTGTCGTTGTACAACCCTCCGCAGGGTGTCGTTGTACAACCTTCCGCAGGGTGTGGGCACCGGCACACACAAAGCGTAGACGACAAGCAGTATCAGAGAGAAAAAGGCCGCCATGTGTGCATGTACATGCAAATGCCCCTCTCTCTCTCTCTCTCTTTCTCTCTCTCTCTCTCTTGGTCGGTAACCAAGGCAAACGTTGCGTTGTGTACCAGTTAGACACAATCCACTCGTGTATGATGTCCTGGTGATGGATGCGACGGGACAAAAAAAAAAAGAACAACGGTAGCATCGTCAGGCTTGCGGACAGCAGTACGGATTTTCGTTTTTCGCGCCCTCAACATGAAGCCTACCGCAAAGGGCCATGAGATGGCACCGGTCTGAGATATTGCACCCAGGATTCTTGAAGTAGCTACCGAAACTATTGTGAACTATTTAAGGGCCCAGAACAGGGGTTTTGACGCTGGCTCTTTTCTCATACTTTAATCCAACACAAGAAAGAAAACAACCTTCCCGCAGGAGGTACCTGGTAATTAGTACTGTTATCAGTAGAGGACACCATGAACAGGCGTTGTGCGTGCTGGCACGTTCAGGCTTGCTACTGGAGCTGAAATATCGAAGGTCGCAGCAACCTCTGAAAACAGTCCGAAATCTGCGCCGGAACCAAGCGGCATCCAACATTTGTCACGGCCGTGCTCACCGCCACTGACCTTATTTGAACGCCTGCCGTTTTGGCTCTTTTGACTTGAAATTAGAATGGGGCGAATTTTTATCTTGATTTCAAAGTGGGCGTGCGGAGGTAGGCGCGTGAAATGTATGTTTTTAGCAGCCTCTACTGTCGCCCTGTGCAGGATTCAACGATTTCTGTTTTTTGCGATGCCTTCCGACTGGTCTTGTGTGTCTGTTGTACAGTTTCTGGTGCTCTTGCGTATGTTTTCAAAATTGGTCTACATCGAACTTGCTGTTCTGGGGGCCATTAAGGCGCACTGGGGGTCGCAGGTCTCCTCTTCCAAAATCCAGGAAACACCTGCGTATCTCAGTTTTCCAAAGTCTACAAATAACTCCTGTACGAAACTTCAATCGCAAATTAATCGTCCGCGCACCCCCCCTCGTAGACAATGTTTGTATCTGAGATTGTAGCCCTTGCGATACAAGTAGGGGGCCCGATATAAGGCGGTGTAGTGCGTGGTGAAGAAAACCGCCTTATATCGGGCAGCCGCCTTATACGTGTATAAGGCGGTAACCGCCTTATACACGGTCTGAGATTGGCCCAATAGGGCGGTGACCGCCTAACTTAAATCAGATGAAGAAAGCAGGTTTCAGCGTATTGGGCATCACCTCACGGCGCGTCGCTGAGTGGAAGAAATGGTCACGCGTCATGCATTCACGCGTGTAGAACGAACAAGATTGCTTGCAATTGTTTGAGTGTCGTTTGCAGCGGTATGTACGTCTACATCTGATGCCGTACGACCCCGCTGGGAGTGTACAGCAGAATGTACATCTGCATCCAAACAATACCGCCGCACAAGGCTCTGGTAGAGAAGACGAATAACGTGTCCAACCAAACCAAAGTGTAGTTTCCAGTTCAAGCGGTGATCAAATGGGACTACGGCTCAGTGCATGCTCCGGGCCGACGGCGTGTGTGCAAAGAGTGATGTGCCCGCGCTCGTTCGCATCGAATTCCTCCGCGTAAAAAATACGGTTTCGTGCGGCCGAACACAAAAAGTGTGTGCGCTCCTACAGTAGGGTTGTAATCCGTTACGCCAGGGCGTTGTGTTGACCACTCCTTCAGGTGGCTTGGACCACAAAGGTACAGGTGTTTCAGAGAGGGGCGTAGTGATGCGAAGATGATCACCGCCTTATATCGGATTTTACTTGGGTAGTTACCGCCTTATACAGGGAGATTGCCGATATAAGGCGGTGCCGCCTTATATCGGGTCTGAGTTGTGTGCGCCAATTTCAGCCGCCTTATATCGGACAACCGCCTTATATCGGGCCCCCTACTGTACACTGTAGACTCGCGGTCAGGCATATGTAGGTCTAGCCCCAAGCAAAGGTGCTTGAAGCGTTCGAAAATCGGACCGCACAGCAGCTTCAAAAATCCTGCTTGGAGCTCACCGATCTCGATGATACAAGGATCGTTTGGGAAATCGCGGACCGCGAGTCTACAGTGTATCGCAAGGGCTACATTCTCAGATACTAACATTGTCTGCGGGGGGGGGTGCGCGGACGATTGGTTTGCGATTGAAGTTTCGTACGGAGATAGACTTTGGAAAACTGAGATATGCAGGGTTTCCTGGATTTTGGAAGAGGAGACCTGCGATCCCCAGTGCGCCCTTAATGGCATTTCCTTCCCGAGGTCGGCGAGCTGGCACCGCCGGTCGGAGAGATGGCACCGGTGTGAAAACAAAAACACTCGCCATCTCTCCGCGTTTTCCGTTCAGGTAGTCTTTTTGGGTGGTGTGTGTCGTATTGTAGCATCAGACCTAGGCTGCTAAAGAGGATTTGAAAGTGTCCAATATTTATTTGCTGTTGAAATGCAATCATTGTGCCTTCGATTGCTCATGAGCTCATGGGTTCGCACACCTTCTTCCAAGACTCCCCCCTGCTTGAACTGGGGGACTGCTGTACACAGCAGACAGGCAGGCATCCCTATTTCCCATCAATGGGCCTACGGGGGAGAGTATTATTGATAGCAACATCTGAAATTCTTCTCCCGGGGGGCGGGGGGCTGCCATAAACAGATCGCCCCCCGACCTCTGACGCAGATGTGCTGTTTACGCAATAATTGTACGCGCGCCGTCTCACAGGAGACCATGGCATTCATCCGGTGGTGCTTGGTGCTTGGTCTGCTGTGTGAATGGTTGCCGTTTCCAGGCGGCTGCGAAGGAACAAGCCCTGAGGGACGAGCTGGTGCAGAGGCAGGGCAAGTTAGGTGCCGCTCGCGCGGAAGTCGAAGACACCAACAAGACTCGCGTGACGCTGTCGGGTGAGCTATCACCAGATGTGTGGTTCGCCAAGAACCCGCGCGGACCAGGGAAATGGTATTTGTAATTTTTTTCTCAACAGCAAGTTTGCATTACGTCTCGCCGGCTACTCCGGAACACCGGGGTAGAAAGGCCAAGAACAGTGAAAGGCGTGGCGGCAGGGTTCGTACACCCTTAAAAAAAGAAACAGCAACGAAGGCTATACTCACCGCGAGAATGTTGTATGCCGGCATAACAGCCGGTACTGCCGGCGGCACTCAAAAACACCAGACAAGCCGCGGAACAAGGTGTCAATTCATTCCTAGGCCAAGATTTTCTCTTTTCCAGCCCCAAGATACGTGCGGGTTCGCTTCGGAAGCCGTAGAAACAGTTGCGCTAGGTGCGGACAGCAGAAATCCTGGCGCGGATTGACCTACAGTATTGTAGTGCCTCCAGCCCGAAGACAGCAACAAGTCGGTTTCTTTCAGGGTAGCGCGGCGATTGGAGGCCGGCTCTTTGATTTCCGTGTGTGGATTCGCGGTCGGTTTGTCGGTGCTGTTGTTGTTGTCGTCGCCACTGGCTCCACGGCAAGAAACTTCTCTGCCCATCCACCCAGATATACACATGCACGCCGCTCCACAGAAGACACATCTCGAAATGCCCAGAATGAGGAAAATGCTCTTATTTAGTCTATCCAACACCGCAGCTAGTGGAGACAATGTTTAAGGTGAGGAACCAGGCAGAGCGAAGCGCTTTTGTTGGAGCTTTGGCATGCTGTTTGTCCGCGGTTTTTTTACCTCGTTTTCATCTACAGTACCGACTGCTACACCCATCGTCTGCAGGTGAGTATGCCGATGCGTCTGGAGTGTTGCGCCGGGCGATGAAGGAATTGGACTTCACGCGCAAGCAAATTTACGACGAACAGACCGAGCGGAAGAGCTTGTTGCATGTCAAGGTGAGATACCACAGCACCCACAGCAACACATTCATGGGACTTTCATGGCCCAGAGTTACCGGAACCCTTTCGCACATATCGCCGTGGCATTCAGATAAAAGGTTTCACAGAAGTCGTTGACCTGGCTCAACTTCGACGCAAGGGCTGGGTGAAGTTTTCTTTCTCCCAGCCCCTCTTCCGCCCCATCTAAGGACCGCTTTTCACACAGCTGTTCCGCTTCTAAATTTCCAAATTTCCAAATTCCGACTTTGCAGCAACTCGTTCCAAATTTGTCGGTGCCAGTAGTTTTCAGTCCCCATTTTCCACATTCTTTTCCTCGGCTACAAATCGAGGTTCTTTGTACGGTCTACGGATTTGGAAGTTTGGAATTTGGAAGCAAAGGCCCTAACCCTCTGGCAACAATGTCTACCGATTCGTCTACCTCAGCGGAAAGGGTGTACTGTCGTTTCGAGGGTTGGCTCCGTGACCGAACAACTGAACAGATATTTTAATCACGGGTACAGTACAGCCTTTAGGTGCTCGTCCTTGATACGTGTTTTTCTTGCTCCCTGGCCCCGTTTCCATGTTGTCTCTTCGAGTGGTACCAGTCGTTGAATCTGCAATCCCTCTGTTTAATTAATCTGTCTGTGAATGAATGAGGTGTCGTCGCCTCTTTTGCTTGTATGAATGCTTTGCCTCACGCTCCGTTGTCGTTGTCTCAGTCTCTCTCCCCACCCCCCCCCTCTCTCTCTCCTCTGTGGTTCTACCTACATTTTTTCTTCGTTCCGTGTGTCTGTTTGTTTTCCTCCCTGCCTCGTTTCCGACACCCGGTGCTTGAAGAAGCGCAACCTAGAGCGTGCTGTCAAGAAGCTCGAGGATACTTTGGAAGAAAGGTAAGGTCGATGGCATGATTTTTTTCGAAAAAGATCCCCACCCGGTGATCATTACTGAGGGTTGGAGATAGGGTAGGACATCGTTAACGAGGGTGTAGTTCGTCTTTTGCCGACCACCGCTAGTTTGCCACGCGATTGGCTTATGTCGTAACGTGCACGGTGCATTGCATGCGTAGTCATCAGCCCCCTTGTAGTTCTAGAAGTTTTATTGTGCAAAGGCTTGAGAAGATACTGTTCTCAACCGCGTAATCATATTCTTCCAGGATGCGGTTGTAGCTCATGAATCACGCCGTAAAGAGTGTGTTGATGATACATTCCGTGTCCTGTCCCTTTCTCATCATATTTATCATATTTCTTTCATGGGATCATGCATGTCCTTTGAACTACCGACCTTTGCCTCTACCATTGTCTGCCCTCCCGACAACACACCTTTGTTGTTCTGGTTTGTCGCTGGATGAAGGTGCTCAGACAGACAAACGCTTGTGGTACCTGAGCCACGTACGTAGTTTATCGCTTGGTTTCATGCTCTTTGGGCCGATTTGTGACGGTCTCCGCCAACGCTGCCCTTTTCATTCCCTCTCCGGGGTTTGTTTTCCCTTCCCAACGAAAAGACGTGTCTGGACAGAAGCTTGGGAGCGTAGGCTGGAAGACTTGCGTCAAGCGGTGACTGTAGCGGGGGAAGCTGCTCTCGAAGTGGTGAGATCTTCAAGGGCGCTGTATATTTTTTGTCGTGATGGAGCTTTCAGTGTATTTGGCGGAGGGTACAGGTATATCACATAGACTTGTTGTTCTTGCACATGTTGAACATCAAGCGTCTTCACAGGTTGAAAGTAGGTTCTTCATTTGGCGTTCATATCGCAATGAATTGGGGGCTCGTATATTGGTTATCGCGGGTGCCGTGTTCAAGACGTAGGAAAATCGATCGAGATTGAGATGGACAGCTGAGTGAGATAATCCAACGTGCGTGTGAATGAGTTTGCAGAGATTCCATCAAGCAGAGAGATTTCGGGGGCATCGCCGGGGCTCGATTCGTGATACAGGAGAAGTGTACTGCGATGTACCCTCTGGGAAGGCGGGTTTGCAGAATTCCTGAAGCAAGTGAATCGGATATGACTTGTCTCGGCGGTTGGTGTGTAGGTGCGGAAAGGTTTTGGGTTTGATCATGCCCAGCCGATGCGAGAACTCGTAATCCCGTCCTTTGATCTTCTTTCACAAAGTTAGCATCGCCGTACTCGATCTCCAGCAGTTTGTTCCGTGTTTCGATCCCAAAAGATGGTCTCTGACCAAAAAACTGGCCCCGCATGATCCTATGATGTCCGTTATGCAGGCCAAGGAGAACCTCGACATCGCGAAAGCAGGGCTTTGCGGCGACCATAATACCCAGGAGCCCGACAAAGTCCGAGACATGGTAGGTACATGCATATTTTGACGTATTGTAAAGCGGCCGGCGTGTACAACAAACACATGGCTCGCTTCCCGTTACGCCACCAAGTACATGCTGCCGAACGCTGGGCATTCGGGATCGATATTCTGGTGTTTTCGGAATCCCGTTGAGCTGACGGGCACCATTTCGGACTACCGACTTGGCTCCTGATGCATCAGTGCGTCGGCCCAGCATGCCGTTGACCGTGACCCGCCGCCAAAACTTCACACTCACTACAATTGTTTGTTTTTTCCAGTCTGTTGTTGCTGGGGTCCTGCTTTTTTCGGGACCGCCTACGCAGGATTTTAAGAGTATCTATTATAGAAAAAGAATAGGGAGGGGGCACGCAGACCCTATCCCTAACCCTAACCCTAAACCACGGATTGAATACTTTATCCCATATGTTTGCTTCGTCAATTTTGCTGCGTAGACTACTGTTTTTTCGATGCACATCGAATCCTCGCCCCTCGGTCAGTGCTTCTCTATCAAAATCGACGCTGTTTTGGTCGCTGGTCGTCGGTGAGGCATGCAGGACCGCATGACCTCAACAAGATACCGGAGCGGCGTTAGGACTGATCTTGTTTTCGACTCTGCCGCTACCTAAGGGGCTGTACTAAAACCATATCTTCATGTTTGAAGACGTGGTGGACGTGTGTCCCGGGGGGGGCTGCTGGTATTTGCGATGGCTCAGGACGATAGAAAATCTGTGGGTGACGTCCCTGAGAGTTGCTTGACGTGGGTACCCGTGCCATGAAATTCAGTCAGGGGTTCACCCAAGGCCTTGACGTTTCAAGAGAAACATGCAATGCTTGCTCGTCATTCTAACGCGGCCTGCTACTTCCGAGATCCTCGAAGTGGAAATAAGTGGTGAAGAGACTGCGGTATGCCATTGCATCTCGTACTGCCCATTTGAATGGTATTCGAAACTCTTGGCCACTTGTTGGGGTTTCAAGTGAAGCACGCACTAAGAACACAGCACGGCAGTCTGCACGATGATGCACATTTTTCTTGGTCGGAGCAAACCACGAAGATCTTTACGTCTAGAGCCCTCGTTCTCCGGACCCCCTGTGTGCGCGCAGCTCTCCCCTGTGGTGCAGGATTCCGTTCTTAGCGAGATGGACCGCATCCAGGAGATCGCCAAGAAGGCCGACAACGCATCTTGGTGAGGAACTCCGATCAAACCGTGGCAACATCCTTTGGTGCAAGTCTTCCTGGGCGCATGATTGAGGGGATCGGCGAAAAAAAGTGCACACCCGGCGGGGCGTCCCGGTTGCTTCGCCGGGGCGCGAAGCCCTGTCGTAGACACGAACGCACGCTTTGCCGCTGGCCTCTCGCGCTGGAACCCACGATGTCGAGCCTAGTCAGCATCTGCGATAAAGATTTCAAGAAGTTTGTAGGATGACTTCCTGAAAACACGCGTGCTGTACCTACACCCCAAGAAATTTCCAACACTTAATATAGAACGGGCCCGTAATTATTAAGGAAAAATCTGTTGAGAAAAAAAGCTCAAATGTTTACGAAAAATATGAAAAAAAGGGCTAGGAAACACAGCTCAATCTCGACCACACCTGGTGAAACGTCCCAATAAGAAACATTATCGATCGTGCGATACCCCCAAGACATAGAAACAAGGGTAGGGGCGTGTCGAATAAGAACCGTTCCACTGCTGCTGATGCTGCTGCTGCTGCCAGCTCCCACCACATGTAATTTTTTGGTAGGGGGGAGAGTGGTTATCTTTGCGGCGCCCCCCGCGCCCCAGCGCCGCCGCGGGCTGCGCTACCCACTGCTGCTGTACTGCTGTACTGCCGCAACCGCCAATGTTCGCCACACCGAGCTGTCGGTTTGATGCTGCATGGAGGCTTGGTGTTTTGTTGTTTTCCTCGCCAGAAATGAGAAATAAGAGGCTCAGGAGGATGCGACAGCCCCTTGGAAAAAGAAACCCGTTTCAAGAAATTGGCCGACTTCGGCTGGTCCTTCTGCCCAAAATATAGAACTGAGGCTCGACCCAAATTTGACGTTTCTTGTCCCCGCGGGCCCGTTCTGTAGCGGCCTTGTCTGGATGTCAATTGCTCGCTGGCGTGCTTCATGTGCCATGGTCGGCCACAGGGGCCTTGTACTGAGTGCGAATTGATCGTGTGCGTGTTCGCTGGGCTGCGATTCATTTCTCCAAGTGACTTCCAGCTTATGAGCTAGTTTCCGGCCATTGTTCCCGTGCAATAGGTTATCCCATTCGGCTCGTGAATCTCTGTCCTCGGCACTCACGAGACTCTCCGCCTTCTATTTCTCATGATGGCTTCCTTGGTTTGTAAGCACGCTCGAAGAAGCTGTACACTCGCTGGCCGAAGCTACCGAGGACGGGGAAATTCAGCGTCAGCAGGGAGAGAAGCACCGCGAGCTCTTGGATACAGAACGGAAGAAGCTAAAGAAAGTGGAGAAAGAGTGGAGGAAGACCATGGAGGACTTTGAGTTTCTGCAGGGAAAAGAAGCTCAGGTGAGCCGTTGCATGTATCCCACGCTCTTTCGGAGACAGTTTGTTTTTTGGAACACGTGGAGTTGGTTTTGGTCATCGGGAGAAAACGATGCCGAAATACTCTCCGTCATGATCCGGCTCGTGCGTTTCTGTTCGCCCATGGTTTGAAGGCATTTTTGACTGCTGTACATCCATACTCGTGTTCCGCAACAGGTTTTGTTCGTCTTTGGTGGCTGTGCCTTACTTCGTTTCGTCATCACGATTCGTTAGTGATAGCTAAGATTTTGGTGTGATACAAACGACTGCGGAGGATGTTGGGCAAGTCGCGCCGAGTTAGGGCTTAGCTGCGTTGCACGAGTTGTGCAACAACCAATAGAGGGCATTTTAACAGTATGTGTTTGCGTTCAAAAAAATACTACTGGGTGAGACGACCGCATCACAGCCTAGCCCTAGCCTCGCACACAATCCGCGACCTCGAGTACATCCAATGCAAAGAGGGGAACCGTAGGAAGCAGTCTGTGGGACAGCGACGTAAAGTTGGTCCTGGTGAAAAGTTGGGAATTCTAACGGCAAGGGCCTCTAAGATCCAACTAGCCGGTCGAAAACTGTTTTGATGAGATGGTTTGCGAGAATAACCCAAAACTGTTGCTAAAGTGAAGTGGAGTGGGCAAAGCATCAAAACGACGTGTAGCCGGTAGCGCAAAAGAGCGTACGCCCGGCAAACGGTGACCAACGGACGTATGAAAATGTTGGTGAGAAATGATGTGCATCGCCCTGCTTGGCGTGAAAAGCACAGTGGACACCCTCTCTTGGCCGTCGCTCTTTGATTTGGATAGCCTCACGTCTTTCGTCGAGCGGACAACGGAAAGCTAAGTTGCTTGTTTTTCCTGCTTGGTTCAGATTCATTTTGCCATGACAGCATGAATCTGATATTTTGAAGAGTCGGGTGGTCTAAGATTCTCTTCACCTGGGCTGTGTCGCTGGCGCCAGTTCCTTTCGGCGAGCGACGCACTCATCTGTAAGGACCTGTGTGGGGTGAATTTATTGTTTCCCTCCCGAAACAGGCAAAGGAGTCGCTCAACGCTGCCAAGAGCGTTGCAGCCGCCAAGCAGAACGAGCTGAAGGAAACCATCAAGGCGCACAACAACGCAAAGTCTCTCGTTGCCGAAGTTCGAGAGGCGGAAGCCAACATCGCACGACAGCTTCGGGACTGCGCCGAGGTACTTGTACCGACGTTCGCATGTCTGACACCACGTCACGTTGTACCCACGAGTGATGTGATTCTCACGACCGAGAATGGTCCAAGTATCCAAAGCCAGTCCTTCCTGAGTAAGTTTGGCGCATGCACACTATAATAGTACACGCACAGCATCGCACAGCCGTGGATGTGAATTCGTCTCTTGAAGCAGACCTTGTAGGCGTCCGTGCTCAAGATCTCGACAGCGGAAAGAGTGCAGCCGAGAACCCGTAAAACATCCTTATCAACGTGAACACAGCCCCGATTCTGGCCCAAATACAGATATTCTTGTAAAGTTGAGAGTTTGTTTTGCTGGGTCAGGGTAAATTGTAACTGCCGCGTGAAGTGAGAGCTGCTCAGCGCGTGCAAGCATTTGCTATCACGCGCACGCTCTTTGTACGCTCTAGTACTAGCACATCACGGGAAGTACCCCTTTTCCCACCACTCTTGCCGCGCGTAGTTCCCGATGCATGCGGCCTCCCGTGAACGGCTGGTGGCGGAGTTCGCTGATTGGGAACGGGCCCAGGAAGAGGAGGACAGCGCAAGGGATGAGGAGCAACGGCTTGAAGAGGAGCTTGATTATGACGACGAGCAGCCTCAAATGTGCCACAACCTGGAGGCCGTTCAGGACGCCTGGAACGACGAAACCACCCACGAATTCGGCGCGGTTGCCGGCTACCCGGACAACACCACGGAATCTGCTGCTACGCGGCAGGCTGAGGTCGAATCCGAACCGTCCCGAAACAACGGCAAGGTGTCTTCAAATCACGACAAGGACAGACCGCGACGTTATCGGTGGGTGGGTGGTCAAGAACAAGGACAGGAGGAGGCCTCAAGTGAAGACGACCGCCCACGGCGACGTTATCAGCCAGATGAACAGCAAGAAGAGGAGGAGGAGGAGGAGGAGGAAGAGGAGGACCGCGACAACGACGCCGAATACCGCATCCCTCTTGCGCGGCGCGGAAGATGTGTGCGTGTGTGTATGTGTGTGTGTGTGTGATTTTTTTCGCTGACCGGGGGCCCGGGGATCCTAATCCTTGACATCTTGATACTCCCACCGCCTGTCCTGCTTGCAAACAGTGGAAGATTGTTTTGTCTCGACACATTCCCTTGGGGTTCGGTCCAATATTTGACGGTTTTCGGAGGGTAGGGTGAGCAAAGCAAGAAGGCCTCCACCCCTAGTGCGTGTTAGATGTACAGGTCGCCTGCGTGTTGGGCGGTTCTAGTGTTGTCCACATCACCATGTCGCGTCTAGACTGCCCTCACGCCATCCAAGCAGACATCCTTTGATGCGAACGCTGCAACATTTTGCTTCGGTCATGCCTTCCTCTTTTGTGCAACAGTCATCGCACGTGGCCAACGTGCAGCGCAGATCCAGTAAGGGAAAAGGGCCCCTGGGAAAATCTAGGATGGCGGTTTCTTCCCAAGCCACTCGCGTTCTCGGTGGAGCCCAGCAGCGTCAAGCCCGGACGGTCGATCACCAAACGGTGGCCACAGGCAACAGCAAGGGCAAAGGGAAGGCCAGGGGTGGCGCGAATACCTTGAGACAAGATCATGCGGCCAGCAGCGCATACGAATGGCGGATGAACAAGGTGAATAGGTTAGGGTGCCCTCGGTTTGTTACTCTTCAAATCTGTGCATGCGGCGTGTTGTGGAACGGCTGCAGAGTGCTCCGGTGAGCAAGCACCATTTTCAGCCTGGTGGTTTGTGCCAGTGACTAGCGGTAGCGTACGGTGAGTACACGGCTCGACGTGATACAATTTCAGGCAGGAGTTGCCATGGTTCGAACGATGCGCGGGGTCGACTCCTGCACTGTCATTCTGCGAAACTCGTTTGCATGGCTGTTCAGAATGTCGCCCGATCCCGAGCCACTGTTGGCGTGTTTCTTTCGAACTCATCCTTGCTCGAGATGGTACCGCCGCGTAGAGACGACAGTCCTGTGGCCGATGACCTAATTTGCGCCCAATGGCGGTATCACAGCTACCTCGCTGTCCCCGAGATCGGTGATGTTACGGTAGAACACGAACCAGTTGACGCACTTTCCAGCAATTGAGTGGACGACACCCTCACCATCCCCGCTGCAATAACTGTGTCTTCTGTACAGGGGGTACCAAGGACTGGACTGTTCGGTGGAGTGAGGAAACCGCGCAAAGTTTTTTTTTCAGGGACGACTGAGACAAACAACTGGCTTGGAATCAAGCGCAAGACTCCATCACCTTCGCAGGTTGCAGGCGAGGAGGGGACAGGTCGGCTCCACCATGGGAACAGACAGCAGGAAGGCGGCCGGGCTGGTGACCAAAATATACCGAAGAAGCGCGTTCGTTCCGCCGGTCAGAAGATTACCCCGGGCCGGTTCATCGAGGGGGGAGAGCGAGCGCCCCCGCGGTTTGCCGTGAAATTTCCGAGGCGTTCCTCCTCGTCACCGTCAGTGAATCGAGACCCCGAAGCCGTTGCAGAAACTTCCACCAACGCCCAAACTGGCGCATCGTCGGAGTCAAACGCCGTAGCAACCACAACGACAGAGGCGACCATGAGCACAGGAGAGGCGAAAGAATCTCCCAACACGGACAGTACGTCAGAGACTCCAGCAGCCCTGGCCAGGGTAGAGCTCTCGTGCAAGACCGAGCCCGCAATGAGTGAAGGTGCGTTGGAATATCTTTGATAGTAGTTTAGCGACAGTGATTCTATTTAACTCCACTTTTGTCATCGAAGGAAAAGGTTGAAAGAGATTATTTAGAGGAAACAGCTTCTTCAGTGCGTGCTGCTGCAGCGGTGGTTCCGATATACCGCCGTCATTGGCGCTTGTCACTACACCGCGGTAGAGTGGGACCACCATCACTGCTGAACTTCTCTTCCTGCGAGAGAGTGCCTGAACGAAACAACAGCACTTGGAACACGATGAGCTCTGACACGGTCGATGTGGATCTCTCTCGTCACCATGTAAAATTTTCGATGTGGTAGGTGAGGCAGTAGATCCAAAGAAGCACCTTAGAGTTCAATACGGCCACAACCCTGGCAAAAGATTGGAACCCTATTTGGATGAGAGGCGAAAGGGCTACGCGAGCCAGTGCCACGTGGGCCTAGCGATCGGTCACTTGCGTTTTAGAAGGGTCTTGCCGCAGACGGCTGTTTTTTTTTTTCTTCTGGTGTCTCTTCAGCTTTTCCTCTCCTGCAACTTATTGTAGCCAGGCAAGGTTGCTTGATACACGTGTGTCGCGACAAGTGAATTTTCAGCCATAAATAGCGATGTTGCTCAATATTTTTCTGCGCTGACCATACTTGTAACGTTTTTTTATTATCTTGGTTGAATTGATAATAAATGGGGTCGAACATGCCCGACGAGATTTTCTGCTTCTAGTGGCGGCACTCGCACTCGGCGGCGATTGGGGCTCGCAGAGCGAGCGGGTGTATACCCCGGCACGGCAATGCATCGGCTCCGCTGTGATTCAAACGTACTCTTACCGAATTCCTCAGATCCGGCAGTGTTCACTCTATCGCAATCCTCAGCTCCCATGTCGGATGGCTGCCTGCAGTCTCCGGGCGTTGACCGTAGAAGTGCGGTTGGTGGCAAGAAGCAAGACGTTGAGTTAGTCGGGCATCACGGAGACCCTGCTGGTGCCATGGCGTTCCCAGCAATGCCCATGTGCGGTGCTGGGTTGCTTGTAAGGCAGGGAGGAAAAATCTATCTGAAACGCCTTGTTTACGTTTTCTTTACAATTTGAAATCGATTGTTTTCCGGACTGACCGGGTGGAAGCACAATCAATACGTGTGCACGGTGTGCCATCTGCCAAATGTGTGACGCTGTTACTCCACACCCCGCCCTCAACCCCCAACAGGATCGTCAGCATCTTCTTAGCTGCGCGGAACAGTCGGAGTCTCCATGAATCTGCTGAGTTGGGTTGGGGTGCGCCATGATCCGGCGCAGTACTGACAGGACAAGAATTCATTCAAAGTTGGTGTGTTATTGTAGTCCCAAGGAGAACGGTCTAGGATCCGTTCGAACCTTGGCCAGTTGGCCGAGACGAGATCGCCCCGCAAAGTCATCGCAAATGGGGACCGTTCACCGTTCGGATAGGGAGGGGGGAATGGTCCGAGTTATGGCGAGTAGCGTTAGGAAATAGGTGTGGTGCTTACTTCTCAGCACGTTTGGCGTACAAGAACCTCTATGTAGGACGAGCAATGGATACGGTAACCGCAGCGAGAGGCAGCGAGCACGAGAATTCGGCAATTTGCTGTGTGGTGGCACAACTTTTCGGAAGTGGTGTCCGACTGTATGATGCACGTGTTCATAGACGGGCACAGAAAACTGAGGATGGATGTATCGTACACACGTGACGGAGCAAAGGTGAAGATTGGTTGTACCGCAGAAGCATGAGTCGCGGGGATGTTGAAATGTCTCGAAAACGGCACCCGGGGTCGGTGTTTTACTGTGTACCTTGGACGTTTCCCCTTCTTCGGCGTTGCGTTTTCCCAGCGATTTGCGTTTTCAACCAGATAACGGCTCCATGTTTCAGGCGCAGCAGCTGGACCGTTGGTAGATGCCAGGGTGTTCATGAATGGCTTTTTGCTGTTGATGTTTTGTTCAAACTTTTTGGGATTGCGTCATTAGTCCTCGACTCGGCGGTGGACTTGCCGGCGTCCAATCACACAGGAAGAAAATAAGGAGGCAAATGAGGCACGGAAAGCGGGATGATGACAAGCAGGGTGCCGATCTACCCTGATCAGCGTGAGAGTTGGAATGTAAGTTTCGCGTAGTTTGAAATACGGCGGTTGGTAGAATTGCATAATGCGTGAAGGATCGAATCTCTGCAAATGCAACCGGATACTGACGGTGATGTGTTCAACAGTATCTACTTGTGCTTCGTGAACGGAAACACAAATCCATCAGTGAACGGAGAGGTGTTGACGAAAAGGATGAAGTGGGCAACACGCTGTTCGATGACTAGGTAGCCTCGTGTTCTTGGCGCTCCTTAGAAAGTGAAAATGACTAGCGCTGGTTGAGGGATTGCAAGAACAACGAGCGCCAACGCTCACTGCAACCACGTGATTGTGGGGCTAACCAACTCTGGCTCTATCACATTTTCCAAGGACATAAGCAGCGAGTCGTGGCGACTCTATGCCAGGGCGGTTTTCGTCTTGCGTCGACAAGGAAAATCTGCTGCCTGGTGTACCGCAGTATTTTACGCATACGTGATGCTTCCTGCCAGTCCGAAATGGATCCTCAGAACGTAATCCCCAAACACGTTCGCAAACTGTCCATGACAACAGAACCGACGGGCAGAGTTCGCAGGGGTTCCCTGTGTTTGTCTCAACTCCGGGAATCGATCAACGATAGGGAGCACTGCATGCCGTTTCCAAAGTCGCTTCATTGCGTATCAAGCTAGAGTCAAACATTTTGCGGCAGTAGGGGTTCTCACAGATTGTGCATTACAAGTTCAAACCAACCTGTTCAAGCGGTGTTGCATGACATACATCGAAAAAATTCTGTGTGAACCCGGATCGCAGCTCTTCAGCTACAAGACAGACAGACCCTAACCCTAACCCTCTCGAGTACCACGACCTTGACGCTTCTAGGGGGGCCAGCCAATGGACCGTGGACAAACGAAGACCGAATTGCACAGTGTCGCACCCTCACGAGCTGCTCAATGTACCGGAATGTACTCGATTTACGACAACCATGTAGCGTTCGTTACGACGAAAGTTAATACCTTGACCAAACGGAAATTCACGTCTGTGCGGCAAGGGCGTTTGAAACGAATTTTCGCTGCCACACCCCGCCAAGAGAAATACATGATACAACAAAACAGGGGCAAAATATCGCCCTTAGTTCCGCTCGCAAGCCACGAGGACATCAACATGACATCCAGAGGCACACATCTTCTTGGAACCACTGGGCATCTCTGATCACTTCCAGCATCGTCCCGTCAGGGGAGGTGAGACCTACTTATGCATGAAAAAAAGGATCAATCTGTCGAGGACAGACCCATGCAAAGAAAAAAGGGATTAATCCCCCCAATGTCTGTCGACAGCGATCCCCTCTTTCACATTGGGCTTCCTCCTTCGCCAGAAAACGAAAACATACAAATCGGCCCGCTTCGTCCCTCCAACTAACCTGAGTCTACAAAAACTTGTGTCTCCGCACTCCCCCCTGCAAATACAACCACGAGCCTTTCCGCCAACACGTCACCCAATCTCTAGAGCGGTATACTTTGCCGCCAATTTCTACTTATGCCACATGCGCTTGTAACGGCCCCGTAAGGTTTGTGTCATGCTGGTGTACCTCCCGCCGCGGCCGCCGCGGCCGCCGCGGCCTGTTGCTTCTGCGCCTCTGCGAAATGCTCCTGGCACTCCTTGAGCGTTTCTGGCTTGAGCTGTTGCTGGAGCCGCAGCATGGCTTCCGGTTCTCGCTCGTTTGCCACGCGGAACGACTGCAGTAAGTACACGGGATCCATTCACACGCGAGAGATGACGTCAACGAGATGTCAGACTGACTATCCGACGTCGAGGGTTATGTAGCATGCGCCAACCGTTCAAGCTTTAGAACATTGCACCTGTCTCTGTCAACCGTTCCAAGGAGCGGGGCAGCCACTTCGAAACAACGAACGCGTGAGGCAGTGCATCGTCATTGGTCTATCGATAGAGAAACGCTCACCTCGTAGAAGAACATCCTCAGGTCGACATTGTCTATCGGTGTCGAGAACTGCTCGTCCTCCTCGTCCTCATCATTCCAGCCGTTCAAGTACTCCTCGATTGTATCCTGAAAAGGACAGAAACAACACGGTCGACTGAATGCAATGCCATGCTTGGTCAAGACTTGGCGCGTGGGCGATTGGTCGACTGCTGTCGCTGGGTAACAGTAAGAGGGAACCGCAGCATTGGTTGGTTTCACTCGCCAACACGCAACTACAACATGTAGCCCGCGCCGTCAGTTCGGCTGGGGCGGATACAATTTCGTGGTTGGCTCACGGCGTGAACAGAACAACAATGCGAGCGTTAGAAGACCGACCTTGTTTCTGCTTGACTCCCTCTCTTGTGTGTTCCGTGCCTTTTGATTGTTCCTGATATATTTCCTTAGATTTTTCATTCGGAAGAGGTAGCCTGCGGATACAGGAATGGCCGTAACCAGCATCTCAAAGGGTACCCTCCCGCCACAGCCTTTCACCGACAACAGTCTCGAGCCACGCCGCCATTGCTAATCTGCGTTGGCTGAGTCTGATTTGAACCTATTGCCTATTTCGCGGGAGCTCACACGTACACGACCTTTCCATTTCTCACCAAAACGAGCAATTCATCGCCTCCCACCTGCCCTACCACATGGTGCTCTGGTCAACGGCACACAGTGGGTCTAGGGCGGAAGAGCTTCATAGGGCTAAGCTCTGGCCAAACTTTTGATTCTCACGTTGTCCGTCGCGTGGAAGTTCTTCATGTATACCATGTCCTCTTCGTTTTTCACGTCCTGGTCGTCATCGAATCCGTCTTCATCCACCTCCTCTTCCTCCTCTTCCTCCTCCTCCTCTTCTTCTTCCTCCTCCTCCTCCCCCTCGGCCTCCACTGACGCCAGGTACTTGATCTCCTCGGTTACTAGCTGCGTGTTCCGGCGAGATCATCACAACAAGGCACGACACGGCTTGTCAGCGAAGGCATGGGTGAGGTCGATCCCGTCACAAGGGTTATAACCCTCAACAGTACAGAGCGAGCAAGGAAAAAAACAATCGCGGTCTCACCGCCGTACTTGAATGCGTTCATGAATTTGTCGGCAAAGAACCCTGTTCTCGCCCGCTCTGCAGGTACCGCATGCTAACCCATCGAACGAGGCGAGCGCTGCCAAGCAAGGCAATCAAGACACCCCCCGGGAGAAATGCAACTTATGAATACATACAACAAAAATATATACCACACATACGGTCGCGGCAAAAGAGTCAAGACAATCGAGGGAAGAAGCGGCGAGAGCGACATCACGGAGGGCCTTGTAGCAGGTCGATGACAACACCGACAGAGGAGGCGAGCAAGGCTCCGGACACGCCGAACTGTTGAAACCCAGGGGATTCGAGGGATGGTGATGGCTTGTAACTAGGAACACCTCAACACGGCAAAATTCCTTTTTACGAATACGGGGGGTTTCCCGAAGACGACGCTTGTGTCGTCTCTCACGTGCGCGACACGGCAAAATTGCAGTAGCCTTCGCAGTATTCTTCTATTGAGTAAACATGTTGGATAAAGCATGCAAATCTGTGAAGTTGGGTCAGGGATAGGGTTTGCGTACGCCCTCCTTGTTCTATTTCCTCGTAAACTTGATTTCTCGGGAAGGCGGCCCCAACATTGCTTTTCATGAGTACGGGGGGGGGGGGGGTCCTGTCCCGATCACGATGCTTGAGTAGTCTCTCACGTTCACAACAGCCCCGAAGGCGTGCGGCAAGACTTGGATCACGGAGGGCGGCAGAGACGCCGACGGCAGGGACAGGAGAGACGTGAGTCCCAGGGCGATGACCTTCTTGGAGAGGTTGTTGTCGAACACCTGTGCCTTCATGCAGACGAACAGCTGCGTCAGCATCGCCTGCGGTTCGAGGAACGAAAAAGCACGGGGCATTGTGTCCGGATCACAGAGCTGGCAGCGCATCACGGTTTCACTTCAACAGCTGAGTACATACTTACGGGACACAAAAATTTGCCGAAAATCACGGAACAGTGTCGAGCCATGCTTCGTCTTCGTCAGAACGAAGACTACCTGTAGCAATGTCCAAGATTTCCTTCGTTGTCTGGAGACGATGGACGCGTCTACCATGGCTCAAGGCTGGAACACGGAAGGCGGTGACAAAAGACGCTGCCGAGGTCCGGCTGACTCAACTACATCTCGCACACAAAGGGAGCACTTGTACACGAAACCCTCTTCTCAAAAGTGCAAACCTGGGTGGTGTTATTCGCCTCCGTCCACTGCAGGGCAAGCTGGGGGTTGTAGTAGAGCGCACTCGCGACCGCCTCCAACAAGGCCGACTTCAGCTCCGCCTTTTCCGCCTGCGGGGAAAGTGGTTAGAGTTAGGGTCGGGAGAGAGCGCGGGGCAAAAAATTAGCGCCTAAAGAAAACAGCTCGGGACGTAGGAAAACGAACGAACAAGGATGGCGAGCTCCGCCCTAACTCTGGGTGTCACTGCACAACATAACGGTTTGTTCCGTTGAGGGTAGAAAGGATCAAGCGCGATTCAGTTATCACTCATGGTGTTGCTGTGCAGAAAGGTTGGGATACACAAGCGGCAGAGTGCTACTCGCACATCGGATTCCATATACAAGCGGCAAGCGTTACTCGTACACCAGAGAGAGCAGTGTGCCTCAACCAACATCAAGAAGGCGGAGAAAAGGTCCACCACCCCCGGCACTTACCGTCCGTACGCGCTCGCTGAGCATCGCGAGGATGGGGGGAATGTACTCGTCGATCCTGCCCTTGCAGTTGTGGAGCACAACCATCGTCAGCTGCACCGCAGTCCTGGCCTCCTTCTCCGATTGCCGCTCGTCCTTCATCACGCGCCCGCACATGTCTAGCAACATCTCGATGTACCTGTCGGCGACGTCAGTTTTCAACACAGCTGTTTCGCTTCCAAATTTCAAAAATTCCGACTTCCAGAGTTCCAATCTCGTTCATTTTTCGCTGTCAGAAGTTTCCAAAGGTTCCCAAACAACAACTCACCGAGGATCCATGGTCTACGAACTAATGCGGAAACATTGACGCGAAATGGCTGCTGTATACAACGGTCCTGAGATGTAGAGAAAAACTTCGACGAACATGTCCCAATACCCCCAAGACACACACCGCCGCTATCTCTATCGATAACATCATGCCCATCGCCGCCAGCAGTACATGCGACTCCCTTCAACAAAAACGAAACACAAGCCGGCCCGGCATAAATGAGACTTTTGACAAAAAGGCATACGCCCTTGATTGTGCCAAATGGCCTGAGCATTCCCCCACAAATCAGTCCAATGACCTTGAGCCGCAAAAATCACCTGCTGCCCTCGATTGTGCCATGTGGCCTGTGCACTCCCCCACACTTTCAGTCTAACGACCACACCAACAACAACATCGTTTGGAGCCGGAAAATCACCTGTTGCCCTCGGCACTTCTCCCGGCAATGAAGACGTCTGTGCCACGGCTGATGTAGTTGTCTATCGGCACGGCCATGTTGGAGATGAGATCGAAGGCCCACTTGTCCCAGGTGCGGTAAAGCATCGGGAAAACGCTCCACAGCTGTTCGCTGATGCCGGCCCTGAAATTTTGGGGCACGCGGGGGCGATGCGCAGAGCGCGGGCCACAGGAAGGTGCGGCGCAAAGCGGGGGGACAACAGAAGGTACCGCGCAAAGCGGGGAGACAAAGGAAGGTTCGGGGGATGTTCGTAAATAGTACACCGGCACAGGTACGGCGCAAAGGAGCGAGAAAGGGGATGTTGACGAGCAGTGCACCGGCTCCAACGCACTCATTCATGTACATGGCTGAGACCACGCTTCAGCGGCATGCTGGCTGCTCGAACGTGCGAATCAAATGCCGAACACTTATTTAAAGGACAGGACTGGCCCTGACGTAGAGGTCAACATTCAGAATCAAAACAACTGCCGAGCAAAATCCTCACCTCACAAACACCGGAGACATCAATCACGCACGCTCGTTTTACATCTCTGACACGCCAAAAAAAACACAACTTGCCACAAACAGGTCGGGAACCACCAATTGGTGTGGATGGTGGTTACAAAAATCAAACACAGCAGTTCCGACAAGTAAAAATGACGCCCAAGCCTGACGAATCTTCATCGTACTCAAGGTTGCGATTTCGCATGGCAACAGAAGGGCATACATGTACGACCGACACGTCACACACAGACAGGCTACAGATGCAGACAACATCAGGTGTCCAACGCGAAGCCCTACCCGTAGTACGTGAGGAAGCTGAGGACGTCGCACGCGTTCTCGATGTACTCCATCAAATCTCCATCTTCCGAGAAAACCTTCCATGAACAAAACAAAACACGGCCGAAGCGCGGGGGGGGGGGGGGGGGACCCCTAATCCGGGCTGCCCGAATCCTTAAACCGTTACCCCCCCTCCCCACAAAACCGGGGGGGGGCCCCCCGGGGTTTCCCCGGAACCGGGTCTCCCATTCCCCAAGGCGAAACCCCCGGGGGGATTTCGGGAGGCCCAAGAAGGGGGGGCCGCCTCCCGGTAAGGGGGGTTGGGATCTTGGGCCCACTTTCTTGGGGAAGGGAGAAAGCCGGGGAAGAATTAAATTATTTTTTGGGGGGGTCCCTTCCCGAAAAAGTTTTAAACCCTGGGTAACTTCCCCCAGGAAGCTTGACCCTGTTATCCCAACGGGGGGGGAACCCCCCCTTGGGCGGGGGGGGGGTTTTCCCCCCCCCCCAAAATGGTCTACTCCAC